AGAGGAACAGGAAAAGGGGACAAAAGAGAAGGAAGCGGTAGCCCCAGGCTGCCTGTGTGTGGTCATGGGTGAGCTCCCAGCCAGCTCTACTTCATGTCCCTCATCACTCTGCTTGGGGTCCAGCCTGAGCAAGGCCACACAGCTGAGTTCTCAGCAGGGCTCCTGCCCACAACAGCTGTGGAGTTCCTTCTGTTTTGGTGGTCAGAGGCAGTGAGATGCAAAAACTTGCCTGAACTGGTACCCGTGAGAACAATGCTTCTGATTAGTAAGATGAATGTAAAAAGCTGCCCAAGAACTTAATGACAGCCTATACTTCTACAAGAGATCAGCTGCCTAATGCACATGGATTACAGACTCTTTCACCATCCCGAAGGCCACTAAATAGAAGACAAGAGTTGACAATGGGAGGCTGGGAGGGAGCACTCATATTCAAGAGGCCAGCACCCCTCACCCATAGCAGGCCTGTGTGAGGCTGGACAGTCAGGCAGCACAGCTCTGAACTCCAGCGTGAGGCTCAGTGTGTCTACCAGAAATAGCAGTGAGTGACTGACTTCTGAGATTTCTCTTCCAGTCTGGCTTAAATGTCCAGAGGGTCAAGTCCAAGGACCTCAGCACGTTGCTCAAAGCCTTCTGCATGTGGCCTCATAAGCGTTATCCCTCCTGTGCCCCTACAGCACACCTCGGCATTCCTATTGTGACCTTTGTCCCGCAATGTCCCAAAGCCCTTCTCTAACCTCACCCATTCTGTAAGGCTCTCACCAGAGCCACCTCCTGTGGCTCAATAGCTCTAAGCCTGAGTCTCCTCTGAACTGAGATTATTCCATTAAATGCTTTTTGAGGATTCTGAGTCTTAGACCAGGAGGTCAAGTAAACAAAAGGTATGAAACACTATAACAGGGAGAAACTGAAAAGCAGAGAATGAGGAAGCAGGAGGTGAGGAGCCGGAAAAGCAGAAGAGGATAGCAGATGGCAAGAGAGGATATCAGGGAGCTGGCGGACGAGGAGCAGGAGGGGCCAGGTGAAGGGCTGGGGTACAGAGGATGCTCAGGGTGGGAGCTGGGTTCCAGAGGAATCTCACTCTCTTAGTATGGCTATCTAGCGGCTGCTTGCCTGGGGAGAGGGTCTTTCCATGTCATCTTTCTGATTCCCAACAGAGGGTACTCTGTAGTTGACAATCGTGTATGTATGTCTCACTTGCACACTGTCAGGCCCAAGGCTGCTCTGAATGAATGAGCCTCCGGAAGCCCTTCATTCTCTCCGCCATTGTCTGGGCCACTCCCACAACCACAGCTCCTCTGTGTGCAATATTTACACACCGACCACTGGACAATTAGAGAGGAGTATTCCCTTTTGTGCTGGAGGCTGGCATAAAACCGTCAATTTAATTTTTTGAACCCTGCCAGCATTTTACAGACAGGCCTCTCCAACTTTTGGCCTCTGTCTAAGCTTGAGGAGAATCCCAAAGTGTCCTGATCTGTGCCTGTAAGACATCTCTTCTGTGCTACTCACCCTCCAAGGCCCCTCAGAAGCATCTCAATGAACACAGTGGGGCAGAGACTACTCCCCCCAAACTGGCTGCAATCTGTATTATAAAAGGGAGTCATCTGGGAATGTATTCATTTCAGGTGACCCCACAGCATTAGGACTGACTACCAGCAAACATGTGCCATCTCCACTATACTTTTTTTTTTTTTTTTGGTCCCAGGGATTAAACTCAGGACCTTGTGCTTTTGAGGCAGGTGGTGGAACCACAAATCTCCGGCCCTAACATCTGCCATCTCAATGGCCCCACATTCAGGAAAGGGCAATTCCCTACCTCTGAGAAGCAGGATGCTCCACTGGTGAGGTGATGTTTGGAAATACAATGCCCCTAAGAGGAGAGGCCCCCTGACCAAGCACAGTGGCAAAGGGAGGCTCAGCATCAGCTCCTTCCATAGGACAAATATCAATTGTCTAAGCCCCCTTACAAAATGACACTTATTTGGCCAACACTTTTTGGTTCCTCAAGACATCAGCACACCTTGCTCTTCAGCTATTCCCAATGTAAATCCCATCTGGTCCTTTCAAAGGCATCAATGGGCCCACTCCTAGTGACTTCCCACAGATAGCACTGAGCAGTGAGATTCATCTAAAGGTGGAATCCTTGCATTTAAATCTACTCCACCATTTTTTTCAAAAAAGAGTTGAGGAAGTTTTAAAAAAATGCATGATGAGGGCTGGGGATTTAGCTCAGTGGTTCCAATGCCTGCTTTGAAAGCCCAAGGTCCCGAGTTGGATCCCCAGTACCAAAAAAAAAACCATGATGAGAAAAATTTTTTAAAAAAATTTTAAATACATGATATAATCCAATAAAAATGAATGAAAAATATCACCCTGAAAGAAAACAAGAAAGGAAGAGAATGAAGCTAGAGTCAAGGTCATTCACAAAAATGGTATGCTTTGTAAAACTGCCAAAGGTGATTACAACTTCAGCTGAGATTTCTAAGGGCTAAAGCAAAGAAAGAATTGTGGACCATAATGAAATTCAAAGTACATAAAAGATTAAAAAACAACAAAAACCTGGGGCTAGGGTGTAGCTCAGTAGTACACCACACACCTACTACATGCTTAGCATGCATAGGGCCCTGAGTTCCACCACTAGCACCAAAGAACAAAAACAAAACCACCCCCTGCTCAAAAGAACCTCAGCTTTTACTGGGTGCTAGAGGATAATTTCCTGAGAATAAATTCCTATAAATGGGATTTCTAAATTAAGAGCTTTACAGATTTTTCAGGCTACTGATGCATACTGCCAAATTGCTGTCCAGAAAGGTCATGCTGATTGCACACTTCTCCTGGCACTCTGCTATCTTTCCTACACTGGAATTGGAATATTGGGGTGGGGGAGGCTATAGATACAAATTTAGTATTTCCATCTGTAAATCATGAAAATTATGCTGAATATTTTTCATATTCATACTGACAATATGTATTGGATATGTTTCCTGCTTTATATCTTATATTTTCTCCTAAATTGTCTATCTCTCTTTTTATACTGGTGTCTGGAGAAAGTTCTTTTTCTGTAAAGGATATTGATGAAACATCCCAATTTTACAGAGAAAAGAGGTTAAATATAACTTGGTTAAGGCCACTCATCAGGAGGCTGGGCTAGGGCTGGGACACCGGTGACTGACACTAAGGTGGCCAGTGAGTGTGCAAAGAAGTGAGAGAGCAAACAGGGTCCCAGGCAAAGATCCCAGAGGCCCAGGCCCGGAAAACACAGGGCAGTTGACATTTTTGGCCTCCACCTGTGAGATGCTTTTCAAGTCATCTGTAAGCGTGTGTGTCAAGGCTCAAAGACATCACAGAATTATGTTTTATGCACATTTGAAGAGAGACCAGACTATGGTTGAGGGTCAGAGGAGGTCACACATTAAAGGTACCTTCTGGCATCTATGGGGAATTTTTGAAAAAACCCAGAGGTGTCCCATTATTACTCAAAGGCCATGATGGAAACTCCATGCTCATTGGAGGAGGCAGGGCACAGCTGCACCTGGATACGGCACCAAAGGAGACAGTGAAGTCTTGGCAACACATAAAAAATACCTGTATCTTACCCAGTCTACCAGTTGTCTCACCTGTGGCCCGCAGAGGGGCTCTAGTCACAAGCCAGAAACAGAAGCTGAGAAACTACCTGCTGGGTTGTACTGGCAAGAAAGAACCCCTTTTCCCACTGCACAGTTACAAAAAGACAGTCACATCTTCTTTAACTAAAACACAGTATCACTTTGGGGGTAAGGAACTGAATCCCATGAACAAGAAGGACAAACCCCATGCATCCATGTTTGTGATTTTTGTTTTCAGTGCTGGGGATTGAACCTATGGCCTCACACATGCTAGGCAAATGCTCTCCCATAGAACTACATCCCCAGCCACTAGTTTAAGAAAAAGCCTGTCTAGCTGAAGACTAGGTTACCGGTGCTCACATAATAAAGAATAAAAATATATTTTGTTTCTCTAATAATCATTATTTCTGAAAAAACATTATGATTAGTACTCCAAGTTCCAGTTTTCCTCACTTGAAAGGTACTTAGCTCCAGCAACCATAAGAGATGCTTTATACACATTCCTTATTAATCCTCCCAAATCTTTGTGTCAGAGATTTTACATCCCCATTTTGCAGAAGAGGAAACTGAGGGTCAAGGTCTCTGAGTGATAGAAGCAAAGATCAGTTTCTGTTGGGGACCGAGTTTTGGCCAAGTCATTTGGAAGTATGTGTTCCATGGTCTACTCACATCAGAAGCCACTATGCTGGGAGTGAGAAGTAGCTATCTTTTCTTTTCTTTCTTTTTTTTTTTTTTTTGTAGTACTGCGGATTGAATTCAGGGGCACAGGGACTCACTAAGTTACTCAATTTTAGATCTTCCTGCTTCAGCCTCTGAGAATGCCAGGATTATAGTTGTGTGTTACCATTCCTAGCTGAGAAGCAGTTGTCTTACCAAGACAAGTACTTTATTCTTTTTTTTTTTTACTTTATTTATTCTTACCAGGACAAATACATGCATACATTTTTTTCTTTTCCAGTGCTGAGGTTTGAACCTAGGGTATGAATGGTAAGCAACCACTCTTCCAATGAGCTACACCCCAAGCCCATAGGATGAGTACTTAACAAAAGGTTTAATAAGGTGTAAGTTATATACCATAAAGTTCACCCCAAGTAACTTTTAAGATGGCAAGGAACATGGACACATACAGAAATAAAAGTGTTACTTTTCTGTTGAAAAGAAAGACAGAGGGCCAGGGATTTAGCTCAGTGGTTTCGCCACCTGCTGTGCAAGCGCAAGGACCTGAGTTCGATCCCCAGTACCGAAAGAAAGAAAGAAAGAAAGAAAGAAAGAAAGAAAGAAAGAAGGAAAGAAAGAAAGAAAGAAAGAAAGAGCGAGCCAGGGACACGGTGAACCCCAGTGGTCAGGTTTCCATCCAGGAGCTACAAGGAGTCAGGTGGGGTCTGGGATGCCTACCTTGGATTCCATACAGACGGTTGAGGCGTGACCGTCGGGCCTCATCAGTGTAGGGGACAGCAAGCCAGGGCATCTCACTAAAGTACTGTTTGAAGGACTCCTCTGACCTAGAGAGAGAGACTCATGTGGAGATCAAGGTGCTGTTATCTGGAGCACACCTCCATTTGGTCCTCCTGCTCAGTTACCAAGTTGTGCCTGGGCCCCTGTGAGGCTGGGGTTCATTGTGCTCCTCAGACAGCAGGCTATCGGTGTGCGCTGTTCTACCCATTCTTGTGCTCACCAAGAAGTACATGCTTCCACGAAGCCAGGCAGGCCATTTCAGTATCCTGCTCACCCGCATGACACCAATTACATTCATGCCTGACCTTGTATTTTCAACACAGACTGGCCTTACTTTTAGAGGGAGCTTAGAAGGACACAGCCATCACATTCCTGTGATATTTCTAATTTGTTTATGGAACTACGATCTGTATAGGACAACAGACTTTAAACCAAGTGTACATCTATGATTCTATGTATAAGAAATTCTAGGAAAGAGGTCTACTCAAGGGATAGACAGCAGATTGGGGGTTTCCTGGGCATGGGGCTTGGGGATGGGGACTGGATGAGAAGGGGCACAAAGGAACCTTTGGGGTGATGGCAATTCTCTACCTTGACCGTGATGAGGATGGCTACAAAGGTAACTAGGCAAAGCCCAATGAACTGCATAATAGATGCATTTTAAATCGATGGATTTTACTGTATAGAAATTGTATTTCCAATAAAGGTGTAGTTGTTTAAGGCTTTAAAAAAGTGACTGCTGGGCTGGGGATTTAGCGTAGTGGTTTCGCCACCTGCTGCGGAAGTGCAAGGACACAAGTTCAATCCCTGGTACCAAAAAAAAAAAAGTGACTGCTTCCTCTGGCATGCCTTCAGGGCTGCCTCTACTCCCTTGTGCTGAGGCAGGGAGCTGTGGGGCAGGATCACAGGCCAATAAGCTGAGCAGGGGACAGTGCGCAGATGAGGATACAATGTGCAAAACGCCTTCGGTGTGTTGGCATCTTAGAGACCCCTCTGTGAGCAGGAACTTAAAAGGCCGAAGCACCTGGTAGCTCAGTCTAAATCAGGGCTGGAGCTGAAGGGAGCTCACCGATGAGTGAAGCCAGAGAGACATCAAGAAGGGGAGGAAATAGAAGCTAAAAGGACCTGACTTGCTCCAGGAAGAACGTCCCTCTGCCTTCTTTGCTTTTGTGAGTCCTTATCCATGTGCTTTCAAATAGCCCCCAGACAGAGTTCATGGCCAGAGCAAAGAAAACAACTGCATATCCATCCAAGACAGATGTCACATTGCATTAGTCTCTGGCTTTCTTCCATCTTCCCCATTCTATAACCTTTTCTCACAATCTAGAAAGCTGAACAAATCAGAAAATGTATCCTGATCTCGAATAACTCAGGCCTGCATTGGGACATGCCCCAGTGTTTACAGCAAGAAGAGGTTTTTCTCGGCGCCCTTCAATTATATGAGTAAATATGAAAAGTATCTGCCTCTCTGCCAATAATCTCAGGTGTCTTCCCCAAATCCTACCTTCACATCCTACAACAAGATAAAAATGTAAGGAGAAAGAAATGGATGTTAACTGCCTACGGAAAAGGGGTCCAGCACTGCCTGTCTGCACAGACACACATTACCTGTCTGCACTAACAAAGACGATCTCAAATTTCTGGCCTGCCTCCTTGATCTTCCGGTAGGATTCAACCAGCACCCGAGTGAGGCTTCGGCAGGGCGGACACTGAAAGAAAAGAGCAGAATTCTGATGCATGACAAACCTTCTCTATTTCTCAGCCACTTGCTGTCAGAGACCAGGTAAGCAAGAACCAAGTAGCACTGGGATAGCAAAACCCAGTTTATCAAAGAGGCGGTACTAAGCTTGCCTCTCTTCATGGTGAGCATCCAGCAGAGGCTCTGTCCTGCCCATGCAGTGTGCCAGCAGGCAGCAGTTAGAACAGGCCCCTGGGGGCCCTAAGAGGTATCATCTGCATGGTTATGAGGAATATCCTTTTAGATCAGTCCAAAGAAGACATTTTCTTGTGTCTATCATCATTCATAATATTAAGCAGTCATTGCATGCCAGAATGTATCAGGTGCAGAAGGCAAGGACAGGAAATTCCTGCCAGAGCAGGTACACCTCCAGAAGCCAGAAGCCAACCATATTGGGCTTGGTGGTGGCACTGCTGCTTCCTCCTGTCAGGACTAAGGAGGGACCAAACACTCACCCAGTGTGCGGAGAAATAGACTCCCACGTGAGACCCCTCCAGGCTGCTGCTGTCCAGCGACTGCCCATTATTTCTAAGCAAGGGCCCTGCGATGACTTCCCTGAAGGGCTTAGGTCCCCAGGGGAATTCCAGACCTGAAACAGGCAACAGATGGCAAGGCTCTTCATGATGGCCTGGGACCCAGGAAGCCTCAAGGGTACAGGCAAGACAATTTTAACTCAGGACACAGAAGCAAGGCTTGAGGTTACAGGTGAAATAAAACAGAACAAGCTGGGCATGGTGGCACACGTCTGTAATCCAGTATTGTACTTGGAAGGCCAGGGCAGAAGGATCATGTTTGAGCCCAGCCTGGGCAACTAAGTAAATTAAATTAGCAAGACCTATCTCAAGAGTAAAGAATAAGAAGAGCTGGGGATGTATATCAGTATGAAGACCCTGGGTTCAATCACCAGTAACCACCCTCTGTCCCCCAAAATCACACAGAACAGAACAGACTTCCCAGTTACTCTGATGAGGGCTAGATCTGGAAGTCACTGCCTCACATATTAACCACGAATCAATTTAAGCCCAAGCCTGGCATCTCAGTGGTTCTCAGTGCTGATTGTATGTTAGAATCTACCAGGGAATTAAAAAATATGATGCTACTGGGCCCTATCCCCAGAGAGTCTGATTCAGTTGGTCTGGGCTGAGGCTCAAGGAACTAAGTGAGAATTTAATACTAATAAAAGGAAGAGTAAAACCCACCCAACCCAGATGGTCAACAATGTGATGATACTTAAGCTTCAGGTAGGAAGAATAAATAATATCCTCCCAGTTCAACAGAAGAGTGTTTTTTCACAGGGTAGTCCAAGGCTCACTGCCTCAAAATCGCCTGAGGGGTCCAGGATGGGAGGGAGAAGCACAGACCAATTAAAAATGCAGGTGGCCAAGCCCACCCTGAAACACAAGAATAGGAAAATTTCTGGGGAAGGGGCCAGGCCATCTATATTGTTAACGATCTTTGGAGTAACGTGTGTAAGTGTAGACCTGGCCCCGTCATGCCCTGGTTTTTACACAAAACCATCCTTTAACATCCTTTTTTTACTAGAAAAATTTGTGACCAGGGCTAAAACCTCTAATCTGATCAGTAAACAAGGGAGGGGAGGTCTTGCAATTCTTATCGCTCTAGTGCACCTTGGCTGGCCCTTGACCAGGGGGTCAGAGCAGTCTCACCAGTTCATGGCAAGGTCAGCGAGTCAGCAGGACCTAGGCTTGCAGTACTTAGGCCAAACTAAGAAATGAGGTGTACATTTACCACTCAGGCCAGGAGAGTACCCAGGGTCTGCAACTCTGCTGTGGTAGACAAAGTAGAGCAACCCTAATCCTCTAGTCCCCAAATCTGAAATCTGGAACTTTTTGAGAGTCACTAGTGGTCATCAAGATTCAGATTTCAAAGCATTTTGGATTTCAGTTTTTCAGATTAATGATGTTCAACCAGTAAAGTCTATGAAAATATTCTAAACTCTAAAATCTGAAACATTTCTGCTCCCAAGCATTCCAGATAAGGGATATTTAATTTATATTTCAAAGAGAAAAAAAAAACCCCACTTAGCCTGCCTCTGTTAAAGTGACAGCTGCCATGGAAGTAGCACTAGAAGCCAGTAAGTATCTGGGTCCTTACTGCTTTCCAACAGCCTCCTGAGCCCTCAAAGCTGAACTTTCTTTTCCAGACTCCATCTGGTTTGGCCCATGAATTAAAGCCCCCTAGAGGAACATTCTGGTCCCTTTATAAATCTTAACCATGACCTAGAGAATAGCATAATTTCATCAAGACAATGTTTTCTAGCCACACAAACCCATTTACACACATTTCATTAGTATCGCCTGTGCCAGCAAGGAGGGGATTAGGACAAGAGGAGGTGTGGAGTCAGCAACAAGAATACAGATGGACACACCGATGCCTCACCTTCTGGGTCATCACGGATCACTAGGAGCCCATTCCTGCACACAACCTTGCCAGTGGTAGCATCTAGGAATATTAGCGATGGAATGTTGGAAATTCGGTATTTGTTCCAAAGTTTAAGCTGTAAAACGAAAAAAAGGTGGTTAAATTCAAACCAAAGTAATTGCAGAATTCTGTTTAGTCCCTCAGGCCCCATGAGGAGACAAGTGTGGAAGCACTAAAGTGTAAGTAAAAGAATAACTGGGCAGCAGGGCAGAGGTTAACTCTAGTCCCATGTGGCCCTCAGGTCTGTACAGAGCCCCAACTCCCACCCAGGCTCATGCTGTGGCAGAGGTTGATGGAGAGCCACACTCATTCTCTCCCACTCTCCCCATGGGCACATTCTCCGAAAAGCATGAAAATGGAGCTGCATCACACATCCTAAGACACAGTCAGACCTCCACCAGGCAGTTCAGGAAGGAAGAGGAACTTCTTTCCCAAGAGCAGGTAGAGGTGGTGGGTTGCTCCCCTGCTTGCCTGCTTGGCTGTGTCCCCTGAGCTCCAAAGGAGAAGGGACGGGCTTCTCAACAAGAGCAGGGAGCTAAGATGGGCCCCTCAAACCACCCACATGTGAGGTGTCACAGTGTGAGGCATTTGGATACCCTGAGCCAGCGCCAACCCTCAGCACTCAAAACAACATTCAGGCTACTGGTTGGCTGTTGAGTTAGCTATGCAAACTGTCAGAAGCCCAGGGTCTAAGAGGAATGAGGTTGAGAAGACGTGAACGTAATTGTCCAGGTGGGAAGCCAAGTATGTGCAGTCCCTGGTGTCTGCTCAGTACCACACGGGGAACACCACTCAGGTGGGTTCTGTGCTTGGAAAAGTAACTGCCAAGCCCTGAAATGAAATCTCGGCCTGGCAACACATCCAGAAAGAAAGGAGGGGCAACTGCATGTGGGCCCACTGGTTAGGACGCTCAGCTGTGGGCCTCCCTTCTGGGAAACTGGGAGCCAGACAGGGAGGCTGTGCACTCGGGCACCAGCAGAAGAGGGCAGGGATATGTCCAATGGTCACACAGGAAGCAGCAGAGGGAAGGCCGTGCGGCAGTAGCTCTGATGGTTTTCCACTTGGTCCCTGCAGTGAGGGAGCAGGGCAGGCCACCTGCCAAGAACCCCTAGGCTTCCCTGCTGGTGGAGACCGTGCTGTGGCAGGAAGGGTCTCAGGACTTCACCTCAGACTGGGTGGGCCCCACAGCCTGTGTTTCCAGTGGGCTCACAAAACAGCTTCTGAGCAAGGGTGGCTCTGGGCTCTGTGCAATCTGCGATAATGGTATATGTGCATCACTCTAGAGAAGCTGGACACTGGGCTCAGATGAAACCTTCTTCAGAGAAGAGATCTGAACAAACAAGTTCATCCTGCCCTGGAATTTGCTTCATAAATTTGCTGTGTGAGGGTCCAGACACATGTTAGGGTTTTGTTTTTTTAAAGGAAGAGTAAATGATTTTTTTTTTCATTTACAAAGTAACCTTGGGGCTGGGAGGAGTAATCACTGGGAAAAATTGGGAAACACAGAAAATTACAAAAATTAAAGTAAAAAAAATTCACCCATGATTTACCACTTAGGAGAATTTAAACCATTTTATATTTCCACTAACAGGAAATGAGAATCCCCATTTCCTAGTATCTTCACTAACATTTTCACTGACACTAGTTTTCCAATTTGATAAGGAAAAAAGTACCTAATTTTTCTTGCTTATCTTTTACTTGCTGTTGATTAGTAGACACATTGTAGTAAACATATATTTTGTTTCCTCAGTATGATTTATAACTGGCAAGCAATGAAATTCACTCTGCAGCTATCAAGTGAGCACTTACTATGTGCCAGGTCTGTTCTAAACACGACAGGAATGAAAAGACTAAGGTAGATGAAGTTGTTGCCATCAAAGAGTGTCTGTTCTGGTATGAGAGACAGAAGATAAAAACAGAAATAGAAGAATAATTTCAGTAATAGAAAGAAAATATATCAGGGGAAGCACACAGCATGGGTCAGGGAGGAAGCCACATTTTAGGGAGTATGAACTGGAGCCCCTGAAGAAAGATACTTGGTCACAACCTCAGTAATGCAATGGAGCGAGCCACATGCACAAGAGGGAGGCCACCCGAGTGAGGCTCAGGGGACTTGCATAGAGGCTGGGGAGCTGGTTGTGAAAGCTGGAGTGGATGCAGCCAGAAACAGCCAGGAGGGGGCTGTGATGAGCTGAGGGCAGGACTTGGGTCACAGGAGCATAGTGAAGACACGATCTATTCTGAAGACAGTCAGCAGGGTAGGTGGGCAGAATGAATATCGGGGAGGTGAGGAAAGACAAAGATGATGAACCAAGGTTTAGAGGATGCTATATTTTGTGTCTTAAAAAAGATTCGTGGGTTAACATGTTCCTGCTGGCTTGAACCACTGGTAGTACATGCATGACTGTCCCATTGGGCAGTTGAATCAGCAGTGATAGAAATGGTACAGTCATACATGGACAGTCACGCATGCACCACTGGTGGTTCAAGACAGCCGGCAGTGAGACACAGGTTTACATCTCTACTGTGAACATGCTAAAGGCTTGGTGCCCAGTGTGGTGCTAGTGGGAGATGGTGGGACCTCTAGGACAGAGATGGCAAACCTTTTAGCACTTCAATAATACAATTCAATAATTCAACAATTCAATAATACAAACGGCCCACTGAGGCATGCATGCCATAGGTTCTTCACCACTGCTCTAGGAGGTAGGGAAAGTGGGAGAAAGTTAGGTGGATGGGAACATGTGTGACTGCAGCCTCTTCCACTTTCTCTCTGCTTCCCAGCTGCCATGAGAAGAGCAGCTTGCTCCACTGAGTGCTCCCCATGATGATGTGCTGCCTCACCACAGCCCCAAAGGCAAAAGGGCGAAGTGTCCATGGACTGAAACCTCTGGAACCATGAGCCAAAATAAACCCTTCCTCTTTGTAAGTTGATTATTTCAGGTATTTTGTTACTATAACAGAAAGCTGACTAATGTAGGCACATGATCAAGTGTGCTATGAGGCATTTCCATTAACCAAGATGAGGAACAATGGAGCAAGCAAAAGCTCATTTCAGAGTTAAAAACCAAGTCAAGTTTGGGATGGGTCAACCTTGAGATTCCTTTGCTCTTGCCCTGCTTTACTTTCTTTCTATCCTTTATAAGGGTCTGAAGTTATTTTTCTATTTCTATTCTTGTTTATTTTCTGTTTTTCTCACCAGAACAAACACTGTATGATGGCAACTACTTCATCTGCCTTGTTCTTCCTTGTGCCTGTTGTGGAGATTTCAAGTCAGCACTTGGTTTGTTTTTTTTTTAGTACCTGGGATTGAACTCGGGACCTTGTGTTTTTGAGGCAGGTGGCGGAACCACTGAGCTAAATCCCCGGCCCTCAAGTCAGCACTTGGATTTACAAATCTAGTCTCTGGGGAGGTGGCTTGAGGTACCAGTCAGGTATACCAGATCATCAATGACTACACAGTTGTATAAGGTCATGGATCTGGGGGAGACTTTCCAAGGAGAAGGCCTGGCTGAGAAAGAGATCCCAGGACAGATACAAGGACTACAGACAAAGAGGACTGAAGAGTTCTTGGGGAAGCAGGAGCAGGTGAAGAGGAAAGAGCAGGCAACCATGTAAGGTGCTGCTGAGCTACGACCTCGACAAGGTCAGGGAAGCCAGTGGCATGGAAGAGGAATGAGCATAGTTCTGTCTGGTACACTTGCCCCAAATGGGCCTGCAGACAAACTCTAGTCCTCTTGCCAACACAGGAAACATAAAGAGGAGAATAATGAGAAGAAAAAAAGGTTACAAAAAGAGAAAGAGAAACAAAGTGTGGTGGCATACGCCTGCAATTGCAGAACTCTGGGAGGCTAAGGCAGGAAGATTGCCGAGTTCAAGTCTAGCCTGGGCAACTCACAGACTTGGGAAGATACTGTCTCAAAATAAAGAAAAGGGGGATGTACCTCAGTTTGATGGCTTTGGGCTCAATCCCAAGTGCTGCTAAGAAAGAAAGAAAGAAAGGAGGAAAGGAAGAGTCTGCAGAAATAACCACAGATAAAGAGTTTTGGTGTAAAGGGAGTGGATAAATGGGAATTTAGTTGGAAAAACACACACTGGGGTCAGAGGGAGGATACTTCAAAGATGCAATAACATGCCGGGCATGGCGGTGTATGCCCGTAATTCCAGCTAGTTAGAAGACTAAGGCAGGAGAATCTCAAATTGAAGCCAGCCAGGTCAACTTAGTGAGACTTCGCCTCAAAATGAAATTTTAAAAAGGGCTGAGGGTATAGCTCAATGGTAGACAGCACTTGGGTCGAATCCGCGTTACCACACACAGACCCACACTCACAGGATGATAACGTGTGCTGACTGGAATGACCTAGAGGAGAGAAAGCAAAGATGAGGAAGAACTGCAAGAACAAAATCCGTAGTCCTTGAGTGGGCCAAACAGTGAGACTAGTTCACAAATAGGAAGATGGAATCTTAAAAGCAGCTGATTTTGAAGTCTGTACACTTTTTCCCCCCATTTTATGGTACTGAGGATTGACTCAAGGAACCATTGAGGTACAAACCCAGACTGTTTTAAATTTTATTTTGAGACAGGACCTTGTGACGTTACCTCAAACTTGAAATCCTCCTGCATGTTTCCTGAATGGCTGGATTATAGGTGTGCCCATCATGCTCAGTTTAAATCTATACTCTTCTATTTCAAAGTAGTTTTTTAAAAAAATCTGAATAGAAGGTCAAATTATTTGCAAGTAAAGACAATTCTACCTTCTCTCTCTCTCTTTTTTTACTTTTTGGAAAACAGAAATATTTAATCCTTTCCCCATACATTAGAACTTGCTTCATCCTCAGGGCACAGTTTGACATGTGCATGGGCACTCAGGATTCACCTCATGATGCACTCACCGCGGGAGGGAGAGTAGAAATGCTAACCTGTGGTTAGCGTCTACCTTCTCTTATTAATAGTTAGACCATTTGTATCTTTTTCTTATAGAACTATAGTGGCTGGAACTTCTGGAACAACATTAGGCAGCCACCAGCTTTATCTTCTCACCTGATGATAACGAGTATATATGTAATCTTATTAGAAAATACAATATTAGCCATTGGTTTGAGATAGTCTTTAACTATGTTAAGAAAAAAACAGCAGAGATGCTGGCCCCCTGCTAGATAAGGAAGAACTCAATTTCTTCTGGGTCCCTCATGGAGACAAAAATTTGAACACTGCTCCCTGCCCCAAACCCAAATCACTTCAGCTACATAATTTCTCTCAGAATCTTCCTTGGAGAGCTAAGAACTTATAACTATATTATGGCTCTCATATTTCCACCTGACCTAAGGATCCCCCCTTTCTCACAGCTTCTGAGGAAGACAGCAGGTCTTGGCTTTGGTTTTATCCAATCATCACTGGAGCTTTGCTTCCAAATAAAAGACCACTGGTCTAGTGGAAACAATTTTGCTTCTAGACTCAACTGATACAGAAAAAAGCTGGTCCTTTTATAGACTAAGCCATCACAGTCTAATTTTATATGAGTGATTTATTTAGGAACTTATGTCATTCATCAGTGAGCTATGTCTGTCATGGACTATCTTCCTCAGGCTATACCATCAAGGTTACTTGGCTCTGAAACAGTGCAGAAGGCACATGAGTGATTATTCCAACCTTATTGATTTCAACACCTGAATCAGAAAGAGGTCCTTGGGTTAGAGAAGGTGTCTCAGCCTGCACTGCACTGAGGGTTCTCTCACGCTGACTGGACATGCGAAAAGCTTGGGTTTAAAGAAATGACTCTTCTTGTGTCTTAGCATGGTGTGTGACACGTCAAGTCCCCCAAAGGTTTTCCAAAAGGCTTCTGAAAAGAGCAGTTTCATAACCATTTTTGGGTCACTTTTGAGTATAAAAGCTATGGATCCTTTCACCAGAGAAAAATGCACATACACCAAAGGTCTGTGTGTAAGTTCATAGAGCTCATGAACCACCTGAAGCCTGTTAGTGGAACCTGCCTGATCACAGGAGATCCATGGGCCTGCGAAAAAAACTGGTTGCCTTTTTTTTGGGGGGGGGTAGCGTTTCGAGACAGGGTCTCACTATGTAATTCAGGCTGGCTTTAAATTCTTCATGATCCTCCTGTCTGCCCCTCTCAAATGCTGGGATTACAGGAGTGAACTACCATCCCCAGCTTATGACCTACTTGTTTTACAGTTCGTTTCAGTGCAGATCTTACCTAATGGAGAGAGGTACAATACTGTTCCATCTTTATTCTTGTCATTAAAATCTTCTCCAAAAAATAAAGTAAAATCTCCTCCAATAGACTCAGCATTTGCTTAAAAATCTAAGATGGCAACATAGTGAGCAGTCAGTGATAAAATCCCTGTTGCCAGAGTCCTCTCAGCACCTTCAGAGTTCCTGAGTGCCTTTGGGGTCTGGTCCATCCTTTGTCTTCAGGGTGGTAATATCTGAACAATCCAGGCCAAGAGCTAACCGTATTTTCTTTCAAAGCATCCCCAAGAAGTGACATCACATTTTTTCTTTGCTATTATACTATAGCCTTTTTTGATTTCGGGTTTGTGTTTTGTTTTTGCAATGCTAAGGGTCAAACCCACAGCAAGCAAGGCAAATACTAGGCAAATGCTCTATCACTGATTCCTACTCTTATCCCTTATATTACAGCATTTAATCACCAGAGCTTCCTTGTCTTCTTAAAGGTCCTTTGGGGTAGGAAGCATGGTAGTGTAAAAAGAAAACCAGCTTCTCAGGACCTGGGCTGACATGCTGGCTCTGCACCTATTAGCTGTCAGTAGGAAACATGGTCTAGATTGTAAGGAGGTCCCACCCTGCTCCTCGCACAGCTGTACCCATCTCACAGGACAAATGTGAGACTGAAAGGCAGTGATGTGTGTGGAAACACTTTAAACTCTAAAAGTGCTACACACATGGGATGCATCATTAATATCAGAATCCAATTTATGCTTATTTCCCCCTTGTCAGCATCCTCTTCAAAAAACATTTCCCTGTCAACTTTAATTTACAGTTAATCAATCAACTGTGTAGCTAATAGGCTGTAGATGCAACTACTCAGAGAATGGGGATTTCTTTCTGGAGCAAGTGATATTTTGCCATAAGTACCTTCTGCAACACATAGATATTTGGGGGCCTATTTTATGTGGTCTGTTGGCTGCTGCCCTCTTTCTTTATACCCTCACTTAGATTTCAAGACTTTAAAAGGGCATCTAGGAAAAAAAAGTTTTTGAGATGGAGTCTTGCTATGTTGCTCAGGATGGCCCCAACCTCCTGGGCCCAAGTACACTTCCCATTTCAGCTTCTCAAGTGCCTGAGACTACAAGTGTGCACTGCATGTGGTGGTGGGAAAACATTCTTTTTTAATTGCCTATGTGGAATTTTTTTTTTTTTTTGGTACCGGATCAAACTCGGGACCCTTGAGCTTGCAAGGCAGGTGTCGGCACCACTGAGCTAAATCCCCGGCCCTTGCCTATGTGGATTTTGCTTTTCTCTCTACTTAAGAGAACCCTGGCACCACTGGTTCTGGTTCTGAAAGGGACTCCTCCTTGGTTTCCCCACCCCTGGCTCTGATGACTAAAGCATGAAATACAGTACAGTCTGGTGCGAGGGAGCAGAGGAAGGGGAAGGAGCTGAGTCAGACACTTCCCATCCCAGCAACCTTTGAACCTGGAGACCATGAAAGAGCTCAAGTTCCACTGGCAGTTGGGAGACTTCTGAGAAAGGCTAATGGCAACTTAACGACCTTAAAGGGCTAGTTTGACTGTTATGGCTGCATTTGAGAAAGCTCCAGTTTCTGTGGACTATCCTGGCAAAATATCCACCTAAAGATCATTTTGATGACCTCTGAGACTCACTGGTTTCTCTTCTTCAGTAGCTACACAAAGGCCAGGGGACTCCAACAGACAAAGCCCCAACTCCTAGAAAT